GTTCTCGAGCGAGAGATGCTGGACGCGGCGCGTCTGGAGCCACTGGAGCAGCCGGTTTGAAAAGGCAATGTCGAGCTGCACGGGATCTTCGCCGTTGGCGAGTGTAAAGTGCGTCAGCGTCGGGTGCTCGAGCACGTGCAGCAGAAGCGAGAGCCCGTGAATCGCGTCATCGCGGTCGACGAGGTGGACTTCAAGTCGGCGGAGATGCGGGACCGAGAGCAGCATACTGCGCATCTCGCGGGCATCGTCGACGTCTTCGAACGACGAGTAGAGCTTGAGGGCGACCAGACACGGCCCATAATCTTGAAGCACGTCGTCGACGTCGGCCGCGTCGCCGAGCGGATACTCAATGTGGATCTGTGGCGACAACGAAAACGTCCCGTAGAGATAGTCCATTGTCTGTTCGTCCAAATTGTCTTCTAAAACATGGACGAGAGGCCACGCGACGCGGAGCTGGCTCGTGATGTGGCCGAGGAGATGCCGAAGTGCCTGGAGCGGTAGCGTCAAGTGCTTCTCGGGCCATAGCGATAGGAACGATAGGAGCGTGTCGTTGTCGCCAATGTGCTCGACGATGACGGCGATGACCCCTGGCGGTAGCGTCGGGTCGAGGTGCTGCGCTGAGGGCACCGTAAGGCGCACCGGACGCGTGGGGCTCGTTTGCATTGGCTCCAAGCGGCGGGCGAATCTAAAACTGTCCGCGTCGTCGTCCAGAGCCCAAAGGTGACGCCGTCGGTTAGACAATTCGCTGCCATAAATAGCCGATAAGAGCAAAGATAACCACCACCACGAGTGTAATTTATCTCGTGTAGCTCTGCATTGGACGACGCAGTTGCCTCGAATCAAAGGGGACGCTTCCAGTGACAAAAGCTCTAGCACGATAATCCTTGTTTTGGGCAATCCACAAGTACATCATGGTCAAACTTTTGATCGAAACCAAGATGCACGGAACGATGGATATCTTGAATAGTTGATGCGAGAACTTTCAACTCAACGACTAAGTCTCCATGATGGCTCTTGGATCATGTAAGCTTTCGACGCTCTTGTTGAGCCCAATGGTCGTGTGCTCTCTTCTCTCAACCAATACGTACGTATATTTTGAATTCTGGTCAGAGGTGAGAGTCCAAGGAGAGTGAGAAGAGAGGAGAGTCTACCTCCTCATGACCCACCAGAGCAACTGACGTGGCAGCACCACAGCGCACATGTTTGATGTGCAAGTCTATTTTTAGATTGGTCAAATGCCCCGCCTCGATGATGACGACGATGGAGACGCATGGAACGAGGTCGATCTGCGCAAGGTGGCTAAGCAAGAGATGCTCGACGCCGAGACGTCCGGTTGCTTGCGCCTAACGAAGCTCCACCTTGTGCGCATGCCGCGCTCGCTGCAGTACCTACCGCACCTTCAAATCATCGATTTGAGCCAGAACGGCCTCACGCGGCTGCCAGGCCAGTGGCTACGGCGGTCCTTCCCGACACTTCACACTCTCCATATCGGCGGCAACCAGCTGCACGTGATGGACGACGTCCTCCACCTCTCTCGGATGCACCACCTTCGCGACCTCGACATCTCTTCCAACCCGCTCCCGCTTGTCACCAATCGTGTCTACCTTCTCGAGGCTCTCTTTCAAGGTACTTCCTTGGAGTGTTGATGTAGCTTCCGTTGGAGTATGTTGCTAGCACCGACGCCCCGGGACGCTACGTACGCGATCGAGACCGACTTGCAGGCAGCTTGTATCGTGCCGGACAAGACACGGTGTCCTGCCGTGTACCGGGCGCGCACACTGGCGCCCGTGCCGAGGCGGGAAGGTTTTCCGATGCTACAAGTGCTCAACCAAGCACCCATCGTGCTCGACGACGTCGCAGCGGTCGAGCGCGAACTCGGTCGCAAGCTGCGGTATCCTGCACCGCACACAACGACGGCCAGCGTCGCCGCAGCTTCCAGGCCACCGGCTCGCTTTCTCGAAATGCGCAAGACGGCCAAAGAATTGGTTCGTCACTTGAGCTGGCGACGGTAAATGCGAGATGCGCGGTGTAGGAGCGACGAAAATTGGGCTTCAAGACGCTGCCCGCCGTGCGTTCCGTGCCCCGTCTCCAGTACACTGTCGACAGGCTGCCAGAGCCCGTCTCTGCCTACGACGATCTGCACGACGTTGGTCGTGGACAGGACGGTGGAATGACCCGCGCTGGTAGGCTCTCTAAACGCTCAAGTATGCACGCGAATGAATCTGCCGCGTAGAGTGTGAAATGGCTCGACGCGACATCAAGCTGGGCTTGGCTGTCACGGGTCCCGCCACCGGCGGCGAATTGCCGCCGGCGCACGAGCCAGTACTCGCCGCGGGGCACTGGAACCACAGCATTGCATCGCTGGACGACCTTCAGAATGACCAGCGCTGCGTCGTGCGCGAAAAAAGCAAGTCGGACTCGACGTTGCAGGACGACCCGCTCGAGTCGGACGTCCTCCTCGACTCGATGGTGCAGGCCGAGCGCTCCCGGTAGAGCAACAAGTCCTTCTCAAGACTAAGTTCTTATTCTAGCCGCCTTACGCAGCGAACGCTCGATGTTTTAGCCAACGTGGACGAGGCGACCGATGCATCGGTGCGACCTTGTGAAGGCGCTATGTTCTTATAGTTCTTCTGCAGGATCCATTCAGCACAAGCTGTGGCGATGCGCTGCTGGATCGACTCAACCACAACTACACGCCTGCTATCGTCGCAGACAAATTCAAGGTTGGCGACAGCTGTTCACATGTATAACCAGTGCACACACGCTGTCGCAGGTCACGACAGCGTTTTGTAAAAGGATTTTTGCTGTTGGCTCCAAGCTCGTGACCCCCGGTAACATACATCGCTCGCAACGAGATGAGTAGGGCAATTGCTGGTAGACTTTCGAGACATTATCGAGCTCGAGCTTCAAGACACTCGGCACCGCAACACGACGCTCTTATCGACAACGGACCCTGCGCCACCATCGCTCGTGGCCACGATGGATCTTTCACTCAAGTAGCCTCTCCGCATGCCACGTCATCGGCTAGACAAATCTGCACTAGTCGCTTGCGCGCCCAGAATCGCATTGAAGGCGTCATCAACACCATCAACCCCAAGCACGAGAAGCGGCTCATCCAAGTCGGAAGCTATCATCTTTGTATCAAAGTATCGAGTGACAGTTTAGGCGCTCATTGATTCCGACCAACAAGTGGTCGACGAGCAACTCCGTCGACAGAAGATCAAGGAACACAAAGACCGTATGGACAATATTGCCCATCGGGGCCACCGCACGCGCCCCACCAGCGCAACCCCCGCGCGCCACGTACCTTGTCCATTTTCATTTTCATTTTTGCTCATATGAAGCGTAGGCGTCGTCATGGCAGCAGCGCAACATCACGGCCATGACGATGAAGGAAAAAGGTGTGGTTCCTCGCAGCACAGCGCGCATTAGCGCAGAGCCCAAGCATCTCGCTTATCGAACGATCGAGACGGTCGAGGCGGCCGCGGACGACCACTTGCTCGGCGTCTCATCCAAAGAGCTCTTGCTGCGCTGCGCCGAGATCCGCAAGCACGCGCGCGAGTCGTTAAAAGAGCTCGCCAAAGCCAAAACCGACTTTGTGGTGAGCGAGTGCGAGTGGGAAAGCCGGCGGCGCGACCGGATCGAGCTTCTCAAGCGCAAGGTCCGCGCGTCGGCCTGCGATGGCACCGAGATTATGATTGGCGACCAAGAATTCATCTATGCAAGCTTTTAAGAAACTCCGTCTACTAACGTCGACTAGATTGTCTCAAAGCGGGACCGACGCCAGCAAGCGTCCAGTGGACCAGCCATGCGAGCTAGCAGCGTCGAACGGAGTAGCATGAGCGTGGCGCCAGAGGAGCAACTAAAGTTTTTGTACCAATATATCTTCTCGAGTGCCACGCGATAGGCCTTTCCCTCATCGCGCATTAGGGCGAGGCATGGAGCAATGGTCATCGCGTCCGAGGCGCGATGGTCGCCTGCATTTTTGAGTCGGCTACGCCTCCAGTCCCAATTTTAACCGGTTTGTTGAATCTGGCTCGAACTCGCATTGCAACCTCGGCTCCTTGTTGTCGCACGCCCGTTGTGGCGCAACGCAATTCGATTCAGAAGCATCCTCCTCCACAGCGTAGTGCCCGAGGATGCCCCTAATAACACCGTCATAAGTTCCGGCTGTACGGACGAGACACATTCTAGACTCATCCCTGTGCGAAAAGACCCAAATTTACCATCGTCTTTGCCGTCGTTTGTCGGACGGCCCGTGCAGGCTGGAGCTGGATCTGGGCATGCTGATACACCATCTTCGATCCCAGTTTTTACGCTCGAATTCTGTGCCCCACTCACCTCCGAGCACCATTGTTCCTCCGCGTTGGAACCAAACACCACCACATAGGCACTCGGAACACTGCGACGTCGCTCTCCTGGACGCATCGTGAGCAAGCGTACCGTACCGTCGTGGCATGGCTGTCAAGGAACTGGTATGAAACCGGTTCTGTAACCGGTTCATTGCGCGACGGCTGTACCATGTGTAACACTGTTACGCCAGCATAATATAATTCGATTTTTTCATGTAGTATCCATTTAAATACCTCTCGCTTTGTATCCACATACAAACACCACGTGCTGTGGTGGGGCAGCGCCCAGAAAGGTCAACCGCAACCAGCTGGCTTGCGGTTGGCGCGAGCCTTTAGCACTGGTGTCATTTGTGCGAAATGCCACCGAGTAGCAAGCCGCACCAGAGCCTCCTCGACGCCATCGAGCGCGGTGATGCCGACGCCGTCCACAGCCTCTTGAAAGCCACCGACGTCGCATCGTCCCCGGACGTGAGCCGGTCGCTCATAGCGGCCGCCTGTCTCTCGCGCTCGTACTTGATCCTGACGTCGCTCATTGACCACGGCGTCTTTGTCTTCCTCGCGTCGCTCTCGGAAGCGCGCAACCGTCACGTCGTGTCGCAATTTATGAACCTCGCGGTCCAAGGTGGCAACGTCAGCATCGTCGCGTGTATTGGCCGGCTCACCGGTATCAACGTGGCCGACTGCTACGAAGAGCTCAAGCTGCCCGACGGCCGAAAGGAGCTCCTGACGCCGCTCCTTGTCGCATCCATCCACGGCGACGTGCCCATGATCAACTACCTTCTTGAAGCCAACGTCGATGTCAACCGGGGTGCGACACGGGACGGCAACTCGCCGCTGTGCATGGCGACTGCCCACGGCCACCACGCCGCGGTCGAGATCCTTCTCGAGGCCGGCGCCAACCCCGACCACCGCAATAGCAAGGGCGAGACCGCGTATGATATGGCCCGCGCCTATGGCCACCTCAACATCCTCTGCCTCCTCGGCATGGACGACCAGCACGGCCACATGCACGTGAACGGCCGCGCGATCGAGTCGACGATCCAGCGCATTCGGCGCTCCAAGGCGCACACGTCGTTTGCAGTCCGTGAGCGCGAAAAAGTCGACTTTAGCTCGCTCCACAAGAAGATTTCAAGTCTGAAAGGTCGGATTTCAGGTCAGAACGGTCGGCTCTCGGCCGTGCACTCGTCGTCGTCGACGTCGAGCGACCCCGCCGCCTCGACGCCCTAGTCGATGCTACTAGTAGCTTATTTAAACACCTCCTTTCTTCGTCCATCTTCGTCCTTGCCATTGCGATGATCGCACGTGACTTACGAGTGACGAGCGCCGACGCGTCTACCTCGTTGCGCTGCTCACACGCCGTCAAAACTTGCTCGCAAGTACCTTGCGCCATGTAATGGTTGATGTGGGTACACGAGTTATAACACGTTACGACGCCACCGAAAGGATATCCAAACGGCAATGCGGCCTCGACCCTCGAACCTCGTTGCACAAGACAGGAGGCAGACGTGCGAACTTCCAACGGGGCAATAGACGCTTTGATTTTGCGTAGCCCAGTCTTCCAATATGAGCAACCAGGTCATGCATTCTGAGCTAGCGATATGGAGAGAAGCTTCCGTCAAGCACCCCTGGCCTCTAATGATATCCTATCACCAAGTCCAGAGGGCACGCGTCGAGCACGCGCCTTGTGCTGCCTCCACGTATCTTGACGCTCCTTCAAAGAGGAGCGCACAAATGTAGCGTTTGGCCGAGATCCCACTCCGCCGGCCCGAGTCGTCGTGACTCGAGACTGGACTGGAAGTTGCCCACTCTAGTCTGTCTGCGTTGTGCTGGCACGACGAGCGAGTTGGTTGAGGCCGTGGGTCAATAAAAAAGTTGACCCATGGTTGAGGCCTTGAGATTGCCTTTTTGGCTCCTGGCATGTCGCATACCAAGGTGCCAGCTGTCCGCTTGCGAGTGACATTCGAAGCACATCCGGATGACCATGGCAGGACGCGTGACCGAGCTCGTGGCAGCCATCGACCGCGCCGACGTTCGCCGCGTTGCCGCCCTTATCGATGGACCCTACACACCAGACGCATTGACGTCGATCCTCCGCGCCGCCTGTCTCGGCCGATCGTACGACATTCTCCACTGCCTCCTCGCGACGCCATCGACCACGGCCTTTCTGTCGTCGGCGCCAACAGCGACGCTCCACTCGCTGCTCAACGCCGCGGCGCAGGGCGGCGACTTGCACATCATGGCTGGTATGAGCCGAGCGACCGGCGTAGCGTGGCGTGACGTGGCCGAGGACGTCGGGCCCGAGCACCTCACGCCGCTCCTCATCGCGTCTATTCGCGGCGACACGGATGCGATGCACTTTCTGCTCCAAGACGGCGTCGACCCGAACGTTGGGCGCACCCGCGACGGTAACGGCCCGCTCGCGATGACGGCGGCCTATGGCTTTACGGGCGCCGCGGCCATGCTCCTCGACGCAGGCGCCAACATGGACGCGCGCAACGCGGGCGGCGCCACGGCGACGGACCTCGCGCTCTTGTATGGCCACGACGAGATCGTCCAGCTGTGCCACATGGCTCACACCCGTGCGCTCGCCTCCGTCGATGGCAACGCGATCAAGAGCAGCATCAGCAAGCTGCGCCAAGCCAAACAGTATACGAATTACGCAGTCCGGGACCGGGAAAAGGTCGACTTTGACCGAGTCCAGCAAAAGATCTCCAAGCTCAAGGCTCGGATTCACGGCCGGATCGACGCCAACTAGTCGAGCTACTGAATCTATTTACGCTCAACGTACACTATCAACCTATCTCGAGAGACCTCGTATCGGGAGGTTCGAACCAGCAACAAAAAGCTCATTGACATTGGGACCAGTGACCGGCACCAGTGATCGGGACTATCGCTGACGATGGCAGGGTGGCGATGCATCAAACGTGCCACGTCTCTGCGCGGACGCCAAATTTTGAGCGCGTGAGTTCTCGGCGGTGCCAGTTCAGGGTTCGTCGCATACGACCAGGATCATGGGTCAATAATAAAGAGGGTGTATCACGCCATACAAAAATCGACGAATCCACGAGGGTCCAGTTGTTTGCCCAATACATTTGTTGGGTTCGGTGAGGAGACCGGCTCCACACAAGATATCGGTATGCACTGTATCTGCATCAAAACAACACTGTACTATACAGGATTTGTAGTGACTGCCAGGCTGATCTTTAAATGAGTATTGACTAAATACACCCATCCAGCATTTGTGATGGCGATGAAGATGGGGGTGTTTGACAGGTCGTCAACAAACGAAACTTTGCACACACATTGATAAGTTTGTTATAGATGTCTGTACAAAGTTTCGTTTCTTGACGGGCTGTCAAACCTCCCCATATTCACGTTTGTGTGTTCATTTTGTCCAAAATTGCTGTATTTGCACGAAAATGGGGAGGTTTGACAGCCCGTCAAGAAATGAAACTTTGTGCTAACATCTATAATGTACTTGTCAATGGGTGTGCAAAGTTTCGCTCCTTGACGGGCTGTCAAACACCCCCATTTTGATGCTTGTGCATTTGAGGACAGCACACCGAGGTACTATTTGCTGACTTCGTGGCATATACGGACTCATTTCATGCGTTTAGAAAAGCCTCGCCGATACTATCGAGGCTTATTCATGCAGAGGCCGTCTTGATGCGCCGTGAAAAGCTATGTTCTAAGCGCTGCATGCACGTAGACCCATGCAGCGATCCGCGGCGCCCAGTCCATTTTAATGAAAAATCGCCCAATAAATTTTATCCGGATGAGGCATTCGGCGCTGGCGCTTCCTCAGGCATTTGGATTGGACATCGCTGTGGGCTCTGCCGTAATTTTATAACTAAATACACGTCGTGAGACACCCTCTTTTTTATTGACCCATGCCAGGATATAGTGGAAGGACAGAGGGCCTCGTTGAGGTGGAGCGGAGTCGGATCGGGCTCAACACCCGCTGATTGAAGACAACGTCGAGGGTTGTCAACGTTGGTA